GGGGGGGGGGGGGGGAAAAATCAATGCACCAAATTAACATGTTTTTATTTGAGATATAGTAATAGCAGCTTGTTTACTTGTTACCTAGCCAACAACACACTTTTCAATGTCTCAAAAACAAACAAACTGTGATCTAAGCTAGTGATATTTTGTGAATTTCTCTCTAGGAGCACACTTTCTTTTTCTTCCATCCAGCTGTCTCACTTATCCTGCTATACTCCAACTTATAAGGTCAGACTTCATATTGGTACCCATTTGTGGTCCTCCACTCCTGCTTACCTGATCCCTGACCCTTCTCCCTCACTTGCCTATCACACCTTTCCCATTTCTAAAATAAATGCTGGAAAGCTTCCCTGGACCCTGAGGACTCACTGGTGTAGGTTCTATCACTCTTTTCTTCTTATCTTAAAAGATATCTTAAAGGCTGTATTCATGGCCTCCAACCACCTGTACAGCCATGTCCATACCTCTGAGTTGTCAACAGTCAGTCATTTCAATGGGCTCTCTGTCCCATGTCCAAGACCTTATATCTTTAGGTCCTCCCACCCCACACACCCTTCCCCTGCCCCACACATTGTGGGGGCTGGGGCCTGCGGGCAGAAGGTAGTGGGTCGGGAGCGAGGGGCACCAAGCCAGGACTGGCCATCGATGCTTACAAATGGATCCTGGTACAAAAAATTTTGAGAACCACTAGTCAGTCTATTAGGGCAAATGAAGCCCGATCAGGTAACCCACCTTTGAGCTTCTCACTGCCCTGCTCCCGAAAGTCCAATACCAGGATTCCTCAGTACGCTGTCTCTCTTTCTCCCTTCTTGCAAGAGGGCTCAGTTCCTCCACAGCGCTTTCTCCTGCAGCTGTACACTCTGCTTTCCATTTCTCTGCCACCCCCTATCTTCTGAGCAAGTTCTTACCTCATTCTTCCCATTATCACCTGTGGACCATTACTCCCCTGTCCCCAGGTGTTAGTCTTTCTGATTATGAAATCATCCGTGGCTCCTTTCTTCCTCCCTGCTCTCTAGCTAGCATTGCTTATCTCACCAGTTTGCATACTGGCCCAGCAGCGGTTACAATGAATCTTATCCTGTTACAGGGGGAACAACTGTTCTGTATAGCAAATATCACTGAGTTAAAGTGAACAAACTGTTTTTCCAACCATTAGCCACCTTATTTGCCAGCATTCATCAATTACACCATTGCTTTTATGTTTTTGAATAAGGGCTGGTCTTCCTTGCAGGAAAGATTGTTAAACAGCATGCGTGAGTTGCAGGAGATACTTAATATTTATGACTAATAATATAAGTCAAATTACTGGTTATACCTTATAGTAATAGGATTGAAGGTCATTCATGTCCTATCACTAGCACTGGTTGGATTATTTTTCAAAGCAATTGGCCCAGCAAGAAGGCAATCTGCTGAGAAGCATTTAAAATGAATGACTCACAGTTCAGTCACTAAGGGAACTGTAGTATGGAAAAACCCATAGTTGTTTGCTTGGATGTCCTTCAAAATATTTAATCAGAGTTATAATTGGAACCCTCCAATAACAAACAGGAACTCCCCCCATAAAATTGTCAATCTCCAACACACTTGTTTCTAATCAATTACATTTTCATTCCCCTATAGTGTTAGTAAAATCCCAGATCCTTTTCATTCTTGACATACCATTTACTTTTCCCAGTTCTAATTTTTTAATAATTCATTAGCTTTGCCAAGAAGGAAAAATGTCAAGGAACATAAACACATTTGTTTGGCTGCACTCTCTGTTTGGGGAAAATATAATTATAGGCAAGAAGCCAGAAAGCATCGACTTTGGGTAAACTGTATTAATTCTGCAATGTCTGATAACTGTTATGAAAAGCCAAATAATCATAATGCATAATCATATGGGTAGCTGTCAGAATACAATGAAAGTAAGTACTGTACTTTCAGATATACACAAATTATCCATCTGTGTGAAAGATTTTTAAATTGCTCTATAACACTGCCGTCAAGCACAAGATAGTATATAACAATTGTAGTATGGTGTAGTATCTGTGGATAAGTGTCCTATAGTTATAATTTTTATTTATGTACTATAATAGTGATTTGTTTCTTTCATTTGTTGTTCTTTATTTTATGGAACAGGTCCTAAATTCCTCATACGAATTTGCAGTATATTGGTTATTTTAATTATTGCTTTAAATATAAGCATAGAAGTTTGGGCAGGAGTAAAAATGTTGTTGTTATTGATGAGTTATAGCTGTAGTTCTTAAATGATATATATAATCTGTACGCTCAAGGATCCCACAATAGGTCTCTTTAAAGTCTAGACACCATACTTTCTCTACCCCTGTGGTATGAAATGGTGACCAAATCTCTGATTCTGTCCATTATACTATGGGCTGAACCCCCATTCAGGGTCACTTGCCCTCCCAATATTTGTTGATTACATTTCTTTCCCATGTCCTTATAACAAAGTATTTAGCAGATTATACTAGGATCTGAGGGGCCACACTGTGAGCACTTTTGCTATGGTCTTGAACTGGCAACTTTTGGGCTGTCAACCACGTGTCTTAAAACTCATACCACCCCAGTCCCTGTTGATAACATGATACTGAAGAGAAAGGTCAGATATTTATCTTTGCCTATATATTCTTATCAGCTAATGCAGGGCTCTTTCCTGACTACGGTCTCACAGGTAGAAGCAGGTTGTCTCATGGCACAATAAAAGACTAGATTACATTTATGACCCCAACCTTATTATAAGACCTGCATGAAAGGATTTTTGTGTCAGTCTAGAGCTCCATGACATTACTGATGTCCTGGGTAAGAGTAAGATTTCTTTACATTTATGCTTAGAATTGGGGCATCATTTGATATCAGGGTGATGATGCACACCTTATTCCATAAATGTGGCACAAAAGATGGAATTTATTCAGTTTCCATAGCACCAATCTTTTTCTTCCTGTTGAGCTGAGGTATTTTCAACCCTACATCACTTTTGTGTTTCTTTTTTTCTATCTATTTCTATTTACTACCTATATTGTGTGGGGGAGAAAAGTTAATTTCTGTGCTGTCACCTAACCAGAATATTCCTAATCTTCCTGATATTATTTTTTCAGATGCATGTTGGCATTTTCTGTTTCCCAAATATGTCTTTATTAAAATTAATGCTGATTCCCATCACTTTAACTCATGTTTGATCCTTTGGCTATAAACTTCTAGTGAGGAATGTTTTAAAGACACATAAAGCAGTTTGCTCCTTATCTGTTGGGGATTGCCTACATAAGATTCATATGGCAAGTGAATTGCTGTTATAAAAGTAGTGGTATAACAATTTTCACATTAGTCCACTAGAGGGAGGAGGAAAGAGGATATTTTAGACTTAAAAAAAAATACAGGAACAGAAATGAAGCAGCAGTGCTGGAAAAGTTTTAGGAGTTTTATCAGCTTAAAAAAAGGCAAGCAATACTTATCACTGGATACATTTTTTTTAAGATTTTAATGTCACAAAAGAACCCACTTAAAAACTTTTTGCAAAGATTTACTAAAATACTCAGCCTGACACTGGTGTATTCTTCTGGAGATAAGCAGTATTGTAAAATCTGTGAGAGCTTTTGCTACCAATTCAAAATTCATCACTTTGGCATATTAAAGAAGGAACTCTATACCAGTAGATTATAGGATGACTGTTGGCTGCTATTGTGCTACAGCCATAAAAAGGGCAAATGCAATCCTTGGATATATCTTAAGAACCGTTTCCAGTAGAAGTCAGGGCAGAGTGGCACCTTATAGACTAATTCAGAAAGGAAAAAGCAACATCTTACTTCATAAACTGCATAGCATCTGATGAACTAAGCTGTTTTTTAAGAAAGGTTATGCCTCTCTCAGTTTGTTAGTTTATACAATATAACCTCATAAATCTGGCATGCTCAAGACCAAACCCCTGCCGGAAACTTCAAAATTTCAGATTTTTTAAACTAGACTGGTGGCCAGTCATGAAGTGGGGGGGAGGTAGTAGCAGCCAGTCCTGGATCAGCAGCCACACGCAGAGTGGGGTGGTGGATGGCGGCAACAGCCACCGCATATATGTTTCCCCCTCCATGTCCAGGGGAGGCTGGGGGGAGTAGCGGCTGGTCCTGGAGCAGCAGCCACACGCAAAGTGGCAGTACAGGGTGGTGGATGGCAGTGGCAGCTGCCGCATGTAAGCTTCCCCCTCCACATCCAGGGGAGCAGAGGAGGAAGCTTAAAAGGTGCCGGATTTTCGAGAATTCTGGATTTTTGATATCCAGATTTATGAGGTTATACTGTAATATGGGTGGGCAGTTACTTGGGCCCACAGGCCACTTAAGAAGTTAGGTGAGCTGGGTCAGCCCTCCTCCCCACACAGCAGCTCAAACTCTCCAAGTGGCTCTTCTCCACACTCAGCTGAGTGACTGGCATGGGGCGGCAGGCAGAGAGCAACATCCAGGAGCAGGATGGGTATGCGGGGCTGGGTCAGAATTGTGGGGTGGTGAGGGGCTGGGACTGGGGCCAGAGCTGTGATCTGCTCTTTGCATGCCCCTGCCCATGGAACTCATTCCCATCTCAGGGCCATGCAGGCAGCAAGT